ACTACTACTACTACTACTACTGCAAGAGTATGACCTTGGATACCTAGTTATCGGACTCACAAGCTCGAGGCTCCCAGGCCCAGCCAAGGACAACTGCGTGTACTAAGGAACAATCGATATGGCTCGGCGCTTCTTCCAAGGAAATTCATCCACCCATGCTGCAGTCTTCGTCCTTGGCTGTGGTGCAATATGGAAATGCAAGCGAACACATGAAGGAACGTGCAAGCCCAGCTGCATGGCTGCATGCACGGGCCAACAGTCGCTACGGCAACGAATCCAGCTGTGTTGCTGCCTAAGTGCAGCATGAAGGTGGTCGTGCAGGTGGCCCCTCTTTGCTACACTGAAGGAACATCTGGGCTTCTGGCTTCTTCGGACCCCAGTTGTGTGGTTGGAGTCGGGCATCCCTCCTCGGGTTACATCTTCTACAAGTGCTGAATTTCTCTGGCGCTTCTCAAGCGAACACTGCCCTTTCGGTGCTGGTTGTGCCCTGAATGGTACTTCATTCAGGCCATGAGATCTGCTGAGGAAGCAGGCAATGCAATGCAATGCAGCACATGGGCATGGCAACCCTTCCGCACATTTTTGCTGGCTATTTAACCTTTGGGAGAATGACAAGCTGGTTCACTAGTTGGTCCTCCGGCGGGCCATCGACAGTATCTGCTGATACCGGCTTGACCTCACAAGGGGCCGATCTTCTTTCGGAAGAGCTACTGCCAAGGTACGCAGCCTTTGCAGTGAAGGGGAACTGATTCAGCCCAAACCATCCTAGTCGTATAGAGCTGAGACGGTGCCTGCGGCAAAGAAGGCTTCTCTGCTGGAGCAGGAGCTGGGGCGATCTTCCCCTGTTTGCACAAAGCGGCTGGCAGCTCCAGGTTCTGTGCTGAAAGGTGAAATGGTGCCATGCTTCCAGCATTTTTTGTAGAGCACGGAGTCCCTGCCAGCCTTTCGTTTTCGTCGAGGTCTGAAGACAACCCAGTCAATGCCTCAAGGGTATAAGAGGACACGGCGATGCGATAGCAAAGATGCGTGTCCAAGCCCCTCACATCTAGGAAACGGGACGAACAAAGATCCATCCTTAGCTTGGATTCAGGCTTGGCGTTGTCCTTGGCGCCAAAGAAATCTCTGCCCAGCTTCTTCCAGGACAGGCGGCTCCATGTCAAACTCCAAGGCCCTGATGACAGGGCGAGTCATGGCAGTTAACTCCTTGTGTCCGACGTCGCATGTCTGGGCAATGACTCTCAGACTCCGATTGCAACCGGGAAAAGACTTGTCAGCAAAAAGCAGCTGATGTTTGTAGGTTGAGCCCTGCATCCTAGTGCAAACAGCAGGCCTGTCATAGGACAAGTGCGCCTGCCAGGATAAGACAGGTGCTTACAATCATACTCTTGCTCGGTAACAGGCAAAATCGCGGCCTGCACTAACACGTATGCCTACCTCCAGTTGACCTCTCCTAAAGCGCCTGAGGCAATGAGGACAACTCAAAGATGTGTGCAGAGCCCGGCCATGATGTACTCCAGCGTGGTGAGCCGCTTGGAGACCAGCTTTATGTGGAACACTAGCAGGGTGAAGATGAGCACGAAGAGGGCCGCATTTAAAAGCCTCAGTAAAGCTGCTGCCACAAATCACGATGACTTTGCATCATTTCGGTGCACAGCACGGGGCAGGCTGTTCATGAGTCAGGTGCAGAGATTGATTACGTTCTAATGCGACCCCCGGCACGTGAGGAAAGCCGTGGTTGGCAGCAACAGCTCCTCAGGTAGCTGCAAGATCTTTGTTGGACATGTGATCATCTGGAGCCGGAATTGCAGGGCTGCCCTACAACCCAAGGAGGATAAATGGCGATGGCTTATTCTGTGTAAGTACTTAGCGCTCCACAAAACTGCTTTGAACTGCTGCAGCTCCTGTGGTTGGCCATCCTTGATAACCACCACAAATAACACCAGGCCCGTCAAGCACATCAATCCTGACAAACAACGGTAGTCAAGGCTTTGAACATTTCCACTTCGGGCAGTGCATAATGCTGAAGGGATAGAGCCGGTCATGAATGGCAAAATTTACGATGAACGAGCGGACCAACCGAAGAGTCAGCCGCATTCCAGCAGAAGCTGCAGCGGACTCCGTTTCAGGATGCAAGACCGCGCATAAAGAAGCCCATCCGAAGCTGCTCAGGTCTTGCAAGCATCCCGGCCTAAAAACAGTGTGGCCGAGACCATGGCAATCCAAAAGCTTCGATAATTAGCGCTGCCAATGCCTTTGCTGCATGACCAGCAGCACTTTCAGCACAGCCTTCCCAACATGTCATGACACCAGCATGACAGGCACTTGCCGAAAACCCGTAACACCCTCTCTGCAATCGCAAAACCAGCCTGAAAACGAATGTACCCAGAAGCACAATGCAATGCGAGTGGCAATTGTTCAGCCAAATGCAGTGGTGATCGAAGCCAGTAACGCACCGGTTGCAGGTGTTGCAGTGCTCCGTCCTCCACTCCTGTGTTGACTGGTTCCGAGCTACAACCCTCCGCCCTCGGCCCTCTAATGACGGAAGACAAGCGTTTCGGAATGCCGGATCTTACACATACAAATCATAAACGCAATTCCAAACGCGTGAACATCAACTTCTGATAGCAGCCCAACCTGCCGAACGTGGCAAGTGTGGCACAAAGGTAGCTGCGTCTTTCCGAGGTCATCGAAAGACCTTGGCAACAGCGACTCAAGGTTATGTGCTTTTGGCCACTCTCTCTCCCTCTCTGCCAGACTAGGATTCGTCAGCTGCTTTGAAGGGCAAGCTAGGGAAGGCCTTCGCGAGAAGGCGTGGGTGACGGTGTTGTTGCCTAGCCTACCCACACCAATCTATCTGCAACGACACCTGCCACGTACCCGAAAAGGCTTTCAGCAAAATATTCTATGAAGCACTCTATGACTCTTTGCCCCAGCATGCAATTTGCGGCCAGGAATCCCCTTACCACACTTCCAGGGCACCTTGCACGAGAAGGCAAAGTTGGGAAGCTCCAAAGTTTCAAGCCATTGGAAGCTATATGGACAATATGGACCCTTAATCCTGGGTCCCTATATACAGGCCCCAACTATGATATTCCCTTTTGGGCCCGTAGAATCACCTGGTTGCATCTAGGCCTAGTAGATCGCCGGCTACATGAACCAGCAGCAATGAAGCTTGAGTCACGCTAACGCTAAGAAGAATAATGAACCATCATAAGGACCCTTAGTGGAAGCTTGAAGACATGCTCAGCGTTCAACAGTCCTCCTAAGCCAGTATTTTGAGCATCGAGCTGAACTTTCTACAAAAAAGCGGACTGCGTTTGATGAAGCTGCCACCGTGCGTCATCCGGATGGGAAGGATCCGTGATGGCAGCCTTGAAGCCAGCAGCAATCATGATGATAGCCTTTCATCAGGCTGCGTCATGCTTTGTGCGCAGCATGGACATGTGTTGCAGTCTGCTAGAGGTTGTGTAGCCAAGGACAAACATGGGCTTGAAGCACACGCAGCAGCTCATTCTTGCGCTTGCACACAATTCGAGAAGCAGTCAGCGCAAACGTCACAGCCAGCAACAGCTGCAGAAAAAAGTCCTGCAGCCAAGGCCGACATCACGGTCAAGTTGCTCAAGTTTCATGGTAACACAAGCATCCCAGACTTGAAAAGATTCTGCTTGCGTAGTTCTTCCAGAGCAACAAAAGGCCCTGGCTTCCTTGATCTGAGGCAGGTAGAGCAAAGCGAACATGATGGTGTCAAGGCTAATGACCTCTTTGAACAAGATGAACAAGTTAATTTGCTCTTGAACAATTAAACCTCATCCTTTTGTGTTCTCAGCGCGGGCCGCTTTCAGCTAAAACTTACCATCGTCCACGCGCTCGCGCCTGCTATTGCAACAGACCTAGTGCAAATGGCAAGTGCGGAGCCAGCCGCGATATCACGGCCCATGCAACTTGCATTTCCTATTCGAGTGTGGTGAGTATGGATTGCATTGAGTTCGCCTTCGCTTTGTGCTCCGTTCACGGGATGTGCCTGCCGCACCTTTTAGATCTGGGTACCAAGCGGGAGTTCATGAAGCGTTACATGCTCATGTCCCCATCCCACATGAGCAACGGATTCTTTGCTAAACAAACCTGAAAATGCGTCCACATACCATATGATCCACTGTCGTTGTTGAGGTTTTTGGATAAACCCCTGCCGCTTCAAGCGCTTCTTTCACCACTCATAACACATGCCCCCTGCAGACAAATGGGAAGGAACAGGTGTCAGCCTTTCATGAGTTCAGCGAAGCCTGAGGTGCCAACAAAAACCAAGATCATTTGAAGAGGACTGATCGGCCTCCACACAGCTTGTATGCTGCACGGTTGACTAAGCCATCAACAAACACATGCACTCTGTGCCTGTTGAAACCATGTCGCCGGACTTGGAGAGAGTCTAACGCCGTGGCCATTGCTCGCAGCGCTACTAATGAAACCTATATCAATAACTATAGGGTGGGAACATGACCACTTCATCAGCATATTGTGATGACTGCTGACAAATGTCCTGCTGACTTTCTCCGCTGGACCATTGTAGACTCGCACATCTGCTTCCGTGGCTGCGAGACACGAAAGGCACACAGCCACATACTGTGTTGCAGCCGTCGTTGTCGCATGGAGTGCTGGCGAACAGAAGCGTCAAATGCCTGACCATGAAACCTTGATTGACTGTCTAAAGTGCGGTCGCTGCGTCTGCCTCGGAAAGAAGCCGCCACAAAGCAGTGCCTCGGTCTCAATGGGGATCACCCTTGTCGAACCAACGAACAGGCTGAGAGTAAGGCAACATGTGGCTTGCTCCCACCACACTTTCTCATATACGGTCCACGCAAACATGAGCTCGCGAAGTCTGATGCCACAGCGTGGCTCCTCTGCCCCACCCAGGACAGAGCCTACAAACCGAGGCTAAGCACTTCAAAACATCAACCGTGATGACTATGTAGACCCTACATCTCGAGTCTGCAGATGGTCCTGGAAGCGGCAGTTGGCTACAGCAAGCTACCATATGCTACGCCTACCTCACGGCGCGTCTCAGTTGGGGGTCCAGGTGAGGTTCTGGAATCCTGGCCGAGTGTAGTTGGCGGCAGGCCGTGGTGGAGGAACGCCTGGTCTCGGGCGCCAGGCACCCCATGGGGAAGCAGGCGGGCGCCAGCCAGGAGGCCCAGGAGCTGTTGCAGGCTGCGTCCGCTGCATCGGCTCAGGGCCAGGTTCCAGGAACTTTGGGCCACCGGCTGCGGTGGCATCCTGGGTGACCCATCCGATAGGCTTCGGGAAGAGCGGGGATGATGGATGTCGGATCTGCACGCGGATGATGCCATTCTCTGTGGTGAAGGCTGGTGCCACCTGCTCGACGATCTCTCCCTCTTGCAGCTTCTGCACTTCTTCGCTGTCAAGCCTTTCGCTTTTTCGCACTACGGTATTGCCTCGAGCCACCTTCCATTTCTTTGGGGTGAAGTACTGCGGAGCTGCTACGGGTGCATGCGGCATCCGAGATGGATAAGGACTGGTCTGGTAGTACGGCGAGCCAAGCTCGTGGTGCGGGTGGCTTGGTGGAGGATGTCCACTGGGGTCGGCTCGGAATGACCATCGCGTGTCCCCTGCTGGTGCGGGCGCTTCGCGGCCGTCGCTCTTTTCGGGCCGGCCTTCGTGCATATAGTCAACATTTGGGGTAAGCTTGGCCTTGCGATCTGTCTGGTTCGGTGCAGAGGTTGTGACTGTGACCGGGGTAGCGGCCACCCTCCGTCGTCGCTTCCGCGAGCGGCTTCTGGTAGGAGCCACGTTGGGTGTAGCCGCAGGCGCAGTTTGGGCTGCAGCCTGAGCTGCTTGAGCTGCTGCCTTCTTCTCCTTTTTGGCCTTCTTCTCTTTGGTCTTCTCTCCATCCTCTGTCCGCTTCTCGCGGCGACGGCGCTTAGAGCCACCTTCGTTTGCGATCTTTGCGAGCTTCTCACAGAGCCATTTGGTGAATGGCCCACTCTGATCCTGGAGGAAAGCCTCAAGTTCTGTTTGGATCGTCTCTGGGGGTCTGCTGGACTGAAGCATCACCGAGATGTACTCCACGAGGACCCCAAGCTCGCCATAGCCACCAATGATGGTTTGCAGCTTCTCTGTCACTGACTTGGACAAGCTGGTTTGTTGCTCCGGAGTCAACTTCTCGTAGAGCTGAGCCAGCTTTGGGGGCTCGACCTCTTTCCCCATGATCCAGGGCACAGAAGGTTATCTGTTTGCTGAAGCAATTGCCTGCTAGATTGCTGGATGTGGTGCCGTGCCTTGGGTTCTCATGGTTAACCATCCCATGTCTGAACTTACCTTATCCCTGTACTAGGCTGCGAAGGTCCCAGGCAGCATCCATTAACAAAGCTAGGTCTGAGCCGCACTGCGTGAGGAATTCATGCATCCTTTTTGCTTGTCCTGTGACCACTTGCAGAATCCAACCGGAGCAACTTGACGTTCAGGTCACTTCCAACAGGCATGATTGGCTAACGCTCATCAAGTGCCTGAGCCTGCCGCAGGAAAAAGCTCGTGCTTGTGCAGTTGCTAGACTTCTTCGCCGATGAGCCGAAAACCAACTAAGCACCGGCAAGCAGATGCAGTCTGCGACAGTCTGAACGTTCGCTCCATATTTCAGCTTGTTTCCAAGTTCTGCTTGCTGGCTTTCTTCCTTACTTCATCTGCATATGGTTGTGACCGGACAATGCAACCTGTGTAGAAAAGAGTTCCATTCTGCAAGGGCAGGCTGCCTTTTTTCTCGCTTCTGGAGTGAGCCTCTTGGCTCTGCCTGTACAACTCGGCCCATCTCTGTGACAAGCATCACTAGCCAACAGGTGTGTATGGCTCAGACCTTGAAACTACAAGCGTTTAGTCTCGTTCAAGGAGGGGCGAGCTTAGCAGAGAGAGCCAACGTTCTAAATGCAGCATTGTCCAGGACCCATGAACAGGGGTCGCTGTACATGGACGTGCGCGACTAATTCATGGCTGGGTCCTTGTGACCGCAATAATCACCACCTTGTTGGTTGCATGCTGGTCTGTTGCTGCTGGCTAGATGAAGAAAAACGCAAATGCTGCTAGATCGCACTAGCGATCAAAGAATAGACTCGCTAGCAACTAGTCTGGAGACTCAACAGTCTAAGCGTTCCCTTGAATGTCCCAGCTGGGCCGTGCCAATGCTTGGATGTCAGCTCGACAGCTGGGACATCTGGACCTTGGCCCGCGTCGCTCAAACAACACATGAAGGCTGCAGTTTGAAGTGGTGGTGCGGCAAGTTTCTGGAGACTCTGCGCAATTCGCAGAACTCTGGACTCGCTTGCTTGGACTGCTGCAGGAGTGGCGCGCAGCAGCGGCAAACTTGTAAATGCCGGCAAGGTAGGATGAGCACTGATGGCGGTGCACTGTAACACACCTGGCCCCGCATTGCCAATCCATGGAGGAGGATTTGATGCGCACGCTCACTTTTGCAAAGTCTGCTCAGCACTATGGTCCCCTTTGCCACCACGGTGCAATGCAGTCTGTCTCATTCCCATACGCTGCTGGGGCATAATGCGTCCTAGCGGAACCAGGCACCATGCAACACATGAAAGACAAACCAGACGGCGTCATGCACTCAATTGCTCCATAGGCTTTTCATGCTCGACTGTCTTGAAGTGCTTCTTTCCTATTTTCTACCGTTTTATCTTCGTAGCAGCCATCTCCTGCCCGCCACTGCTTCGTCGCATGTTGTATGGAACTTCCTCAGAACATTCATTAAAGCACAGGGTTTGGGCGTTTGGTACTGCCACAAAGCAGGGCTGGGTCTGGGCAAAAGCTTCTCACAGCCAAAGACAAGAAAGGACAGGAATGCGTGCTGCAAGAGAACTTCGGCACTTTTAGAAGCCGACGATGCGCATAGACTAAAGCTGATGCTCTGCTCCATTGCTTAGAGCTTGCAGCTTCATTGCACGCAGTTAGCAAGCTGCAATGCCCTTAGTCTTGGTCAAACATGGCGAAACCCGAAGCTGCCATGCACTCAATCCATCTTGACATCAAGCCAGTGACGCCAGTGATAGCAGCAGCCGGCGCCAACCAGCACACGGCTGAGTCCTGAGGAGTTTGAGCTTCAGAGGTGCGAGAGTGACTGACATGCTGCACCAGCAAGTGATAGAAGCGGGACAAGTGTGCAACAAACGCCTGTCAGGCCGCGGCGTGTCTTCCCTGAATTTTGAAATCTGCTGCAAGGGCGGGCCCATTGGGAATGGCAGCATGTATTTGCAAAGCCCCTGCCGTCCCAACCCGCAAACCATGGCTCCCAAACCTAGCTGCGCTGCAACTGCTGACAAGGAGTCATGTCTTCAGTGTCGCTGGCCGAATCCTTCGCTGCAAGCTCAAAGCTGAGTAGTCTCAAAGTCCGGCAAAATTGAGCGTTCCGTGCTGTGCAATTACCTGCAAACAGCCAGCAGTGGCTACTCCCTGCCAAACCTCTACCAGCATGTTCTCGGAGGAGAAAAGGCGGTCCAGGAATCGCACCTGTGGCAACAAGCCCAGTCAGGAAGATCCAGATGTATGGTGCTTGCTAGTTATCCTCCTGAAACAATTATGGAACCTACTCAAGCCACTAGACTGAGCTTCTAAGCTTCCGGCATAATTCACGCGGCCACCTGCAGGCAGTTGAATTTCAATGCCTTCGCCTCCAGACTCTGCCGCCCATCCATGTTATTCTTGTCGTCGACGCTTGATTGATGTAAATCCTAAACCCATTGTGAGACACATGGCTGTGGCATTCCACACTGAGCAGGCTTCATTGGAGAAAATCTGAATGCCAGCTCAGCCACCATCATATCCAATCCTAGGCAACATTGCTGCAAGATGCCCACCGCAAGTTGGGACTATGCACGCCTGCCAGTGCGGACATCTGCAGTTGCTGACTGACAATGACCTAGCCATGTCTCTGTTGAAGCAGATTCAGGAATGTCGGGAGGCTGATCCGAGATGGCAAGGTCTGCAATACCTGAACTGTGACTTGGCAACTTCTGCACATTTGAATTTTGTCTCTAAAAGGAGCCTTCCAGAGCATCTCCCGGTCTACGGTGCCATCTCCGAGCTTGTCCTCAGTGGCAGCTCTCGGTGGCCCATTCATTACCGTACTCTCCGCCGAGGCACGTGGCGACGAAAGACCCTCTTCACGATGGCTGCATCTCGCTCCAGCTGGGCCATGGGGCATCACCAGCACCGATTTGGAAAATCTGCGAGTCTCTCTTGCAATTGCACGATCTGTGTGAAAGTGTGAATTTGCTTGCCTTGGGTGCCTGGAGACCTATGACCGAGGGGAGACGATGGGCCTCTCAGGCTCAAATTGTTGCATCATGTCGGACCTCTGCTCATGATGCGGGGTCAAGCTAAGCTGCCAGGTCAGTGCGAAAGTCGAAGCCATGCATCTGAGTCAAAGTTTCGGGTGCTTTACATGTACATACTCAGTCCCTGACAAAGTGGGAGCTGTGCTCCCTCCTGAAAGGATGGCCTCATATCTTGTCATAACACCCCAGACTGCAACCAAATGAGCATCAGCAAGATGCCTTGTCACGTGGTTCGCTCGTGAGGCGGGTTGTTCTCCTTCTGTGACACCTCTTCCCTTCCTAGACACCAGCTATAGCCACAGGCGAAAAGTGAAGAGTCACTAGGGTCACTACCACTAGGCATCACACAAAGAGAGTGCCAAGACTCTTGAGTGGCGGATTAGCTGGCTTCGACTACAAGGGAGCTTGCGCAAGCCGTGATGATTCGCACAGCTGCTTCTGCAGCACAGTACAGGCTTCTTCTCAGTCCATCTCCTCCTTGACTTTTGCTGCCTTGAGGGCAGCACCTGAGGACTTCAGCTTCTTTACTGCTTGGTTAATGAATACTCCTGGAGTGACTTCGCAGTCATCCCTTTGTGGTCAAGAAGGGAAGTACAAGTGCACCATAATACATCAATACCAGTTGGGAGAAAGGAATCACGTGCGAACGCTGGACATACTAGTGTCAGGTAAGGAAATCGCCCATAAGAGGATCTTCTTCCTCCTCCGTATCGTCGTCGTCCTCCTCCTCTGCCTGACCATGGTTGGCTGAAGGACTACACAACTTCTCATGACCCGTCCGGACAGCACTGCTAAATGCCAAGCCATCGCTCTACCGACTTTCCAAAGGCCCTCAGCTCGGCTGTGAGGCATTCGGGGGCCATTTCTAAAGTTACGGAATTTGCGAAACATTCTCGTTGATTGTCGCAGCCTTCACAGGCTCCGTCTTGACAACTTCGGATTTCACAGGCTCCACCTTGACAGCCTGCGTTGCAGATGCAGCTGCGCAACCATGCTGTCACTGCTAATACAAGGTGGGATACAGTCCAACGTTGCATTTGGGCCGCAGCTTGAAATAGCTGCTTGTGGACGCAGATCACTCCTAATGAGGTCCTATAGATGCTATGCATGCGACTGGTGCCACGGAAGATTCTGCGTAAACATGCAGTAAAGCGATTTGTGAAGTCACTGAAGCAGCAAGATGTCTTTTGCCCTTGCATGTCAAACTGGCTATCTTCATCCACTGAAGCGTGGCCATCCGCAGTAAACATGTTGTATAGGATAGCTTTGCGGTTGCAAGGATAATTTATTAGCGGTCCATTCTTAGCGTGTGTCATACTTTACAATTCACATCACACCTGGCGAAGCCCAATGCATCTGTTCGCTGAAAATGTGGCCTCGGCTTTTGTGGCTGTGCCTCTGGATGAGGCCGCAGCAATCAGTGCATCAAGGGCATTGGTGTCCTTGGGGCAAAAAGCTGTGGCAGATTCAATGTTCCGGCTCTCAGGGGCACCGCTTCTGATGAGCATGTACAAGCTGCTTTGCCGAGCTTCATCCTCATCCTCCTCCTTTTCCATCTTCACCTTGGAAGCATTTCTCTTTCAGCAACTAGCTGCTCAAACTGTGGCCCACAAGTGGACATGCAGTGAAGGGCGGCCAGGTAATTGATTACTTCACTTGAACCCAACGTGTGTGACGTCCTTCGTGCATGCCGATCGAACTCTGGCGACTGGGACTCGCGCCGTGTGCAGCTCCTACAAAAATTGACCAGCTTGCAACGCAGGGTTGTGACTGGGCTTGGCATCGTTAAAATGATACCAACACGTTGGTTCTCCGAAGCTGCGGCTTTCTTTGGGGGGTCTCGGACTTTGGAGCTAGATGCCTAGATTTGGGGACGTCTCGCAGAATGCAAGCTGAGGAGTTGGAGGCCTGCTTCACTGGCGGCAGCGGCACATCGGCTGAGAGCCGTGAGGCCCGAGGCCGCTTTCGAGGCGGCTCCTGGCTCGTTGCGTAATGTTGCGTGACTATGCGACTCCATTTGATCATCTCGTGCAATCGTTAGGCTGCTTTCTTCCCGAGTTGCTGACTACTTGCAAGTAGTCATTGGCTCCCGGACTTTGCCCGAGACTCGGAGTACTTCCGCGAGCACTCGCGGATAATGGACGATATTTACAATAAGAACGGAGCCTATGCTACACAGCAGCTGCCTAAGCAGCGCATGCGTACGGCAAATAAAGGCATTATTAGTGCGCTGTGCCAGCACTGAGTGGCCGCGCGGAAGGCAAAAGGGATCAAGACCTAAGCTCATGGCTAGCAGCTTAGCAGCTCCACTTGCAATTCAAGCCCATATAAGCCCACATAAGCTACAGCAAAGACTGAATTTAGCGGCTCAGGAAAAGTATTCACAACCTCTGTTGGCGATGCCTAACTTACTAGGCAGATAATGACAACACAGCTGACAATCTAGGGATGTGTCCCATTGTATCCATTGCATGCAAAGCTCCAGGCTGGAGTAGCGGAAGCTGTTGCCGACGATCAGTTCAAGTGACCGTCGTAGAACTTGTTCACGCTCTGAATGACAGTATCCTTCACACGCGCATCCAAGTGGAATGCGTGCTCTGCAGCCTGCAGTGTCATCCAGCGAATATCTTCCAAGCTGAGGCCCATTTGGTTTACGCAAATTGAAAGCTCGTCTGTAAGAGAACATCGAAAGACTGCAGGGTCATCTGAGTTGATGGAGCAGGATGTCCGGTCTGCGAAAAACTGGCTGATGGGGTGTGTCTTCCACTGAAGTGCACCCTCGGACATCTCCAACTCAATCGCTTGTGTTGAAATAGAAGATGTAGGGCACAGCTCGAAGTGCACGCCCTTGGACTTCGCATACTCATAGGCTTCCGATCCAACAGATCGGTAGCCATGTCCTATCCGAGTGGCGCCATAAATGTTCATAGCTCGGCGCACGTTTTCGCCTGGCAAACGTGTGCTTAGAGCTGGCAACGCCCGCTGCATAAACTCCCACCCCACTTACTCCCCACATGGTACAGGTGGGCTCCTGATGATCAGTTTTCCTAAAGGTGTTAAAGGCGCTTTTGAAGCAGAGTCGTGTTGCTTTTGAGCAGTCGAGCCTGGCCCTGCCTCAGCAGCGTGTACAGTGACCCCAAAGCCTGCCTTTTCCGCCATGGCGAGAGCATCTCTGTGTGCATCGTGGAGGGCGCCGTCCTGGAGGCAAGAAAACGATTCCCATTCTGATCCCGTGGCCACCTACGGAACGCCACGCAATCTCTGCTGTAGTGCAGTGAAGTCCTCAAAATGCATCTCGCCAGCAGCGATGTCAACACCGACAACACCTTCATTCCGGAACTCCTGGGATTGCATTGCAGCATGCAGACAATTACGCAGGCTGAATGACTCCTCATACCACAACGTTCATATGTGCCATCCTCTGCAAGTGCCATTGTCTTTGTGGACCAGGACGGCTGCGCTGCGATGCAACACAGGATCTGGCGAACTACAATGCCAAACTCAGCTTGACCTGAGGCTGGACAGGTCATGACACGGATCATGAACTGCACAGCGTTACTTCAGGACTTGCTGAGTTCCTTGCCTTTTTGCAGGCCTGCACACACAGCCTGAACTCAGACTGGAATGTAAGGCCAGACTTGCATGCCTCTACCCCGAAAAAAGCGCGTGCTCGCCGGGTGGGTGCCTTCTGTACATTCCCGAGGGCCTCAAGATTCTGCACAAGCCCGGCCTTGACAGCGTCTGCTGCCTTGGAATCATCCGCGATTTCTCCATCCTCGCCTTGCGGCAGGAACTCGAATGGGGAGTACCTCCAGGCAGGTGCTTGGTGACGCTGGGATCCTCCATGGCGCTATCCAACTGGTCCGGGACACCATGCAGATTGGCAGGACATGTTGGCCTCACTTCTGTGTAGATGATGCTGTGCTTCTTCCGCTCGCGGCAGAACTCAAATGCCAGCTCCTCCAGCAAAGCAAATCGGCCGCGCACAATGGGCAAGTAGGTGTAGAAGCAATCGAGGATGGGAAACAAGCCGATGATGTCATCCCCGACCTTGTATCCAGTAGTACCAGTCATAGGGACACGCTCTTTAATTTGGACTTCACGTGCCGGAGTTTGGCGACTGAATTCTGCTATGGATGCCCCGGGAAGCTGTTGGGGGGCCGCAGGTGACAAGCCAGGCAGTTCCCCATGGATAACCCAACTCCACTCTTTTGCAACTATTGACTTCTGGACTGATGCTGAGATTTCTGGCTCAGGAGATATGAGGCTGGGCAATGCCAACAACGCTGAACGATTGTCACGTCTATTCTTTTGCAAGATGGTAAGTCACGAAGCTCGTTGACTCCGCTGTTGAGTTACCCTAGTGCTTGCGGGAACACCAGCAACCTGCTCAAATCTATCAGCCGCAGCCGAGAAAGCGTTCGAACGTGAATCTTCAGCGCTGATGGTGTGAATTTGAGCTGTAGAGCACTGATGCCCGAAACAACCCAAAACCCCTGAAACTGGAAACAGCTTGATGTTGGAGGAGATGCGGCATATCTGACTGGGGTAGTTGAGCGCACAAGGATGCCATGGCTGCGCAATTGTGACATGAAGTGTACAATTGAAGGATCGTTGGTGGGTTCACAAGGCACCCATTCGCTTCAGGCTTTCCCAGCAGTTATGCCTCGTCTGTAAGGCTAAGCGTCCGAAACCAGCGAGGTGAACTTTGCCAGGTCTCCGTTGCAGTCACGCACAGCTTTGCGCACCTCAGAATGCGGGAAAATCTGGTGTAGCTTTTAACGCATCTGGCGTGGTGTCCCAGCCTGCTGGAGAGTGTCTTTCTGACTGGCATCATATGACTGCAGAACCAATTGCTACCAGATCTTGACTCTTGACAGTCTGCTGCCAATGCGCTTCAAGCATCTTGCCATCCCAGGGCGTCCTCACCTTCTCCGGGAGCTCCTCTTGCAGACAGTTAGAGGCTTTCTGGCGAAAACGCCTGAGCTCTTGCTACTACACGGCAAGGGCGCAAATTGTTGCTAAAACTTGCGATGCTGGGCTAAGATGGATGCAGAAGCAAAGCTATGCCTTGCTTCCACAGAAAGTTCGGAACCCCTGCCTCAAGGTGAGCCTGTGCGGCCCTGAAGAGCACTCCGGCGTCGAAGGAACCGTCCAGGTGCACATGTAACTCCACCTTTGGGGCTGCTAGCAGCAGTTCCTCAGTGCTGCGGAGTGCGAAGCGTGGATTGGCCTCAGCGATGCATGGATGCAGCAGGCTGCAACTCTTCAGGGATGCACTACTTGGGGATTCTGAAGCAGCATGTTCACAACAGCTCTGCTGATCTTCTGAAGTCGGCATATGCACCAGCTCACATGACCAAGGCTGCAAGATGGTGCTGGCATTGTGCTTGCTGTAAGGATGATGATGAATCTGAATTGTGGTGTGGGTGTCGAAATTATGCTTGCTGCAGAGCTGCAACTGCTCCCCTCTCCTCTTCCGTCGCTTTGCCAGCACCTCCCACAAAACTCAATACGTTTAGCAACGCTGCCAAGCAATACGCCCACATGGCAACGCAGCAAACAACAAGCCCTTAAGACAAATTATGCAGCCAAGGCTCCGAACATGTTGCCCATGGCTGATCGATGAGTGACAAGGGGATGTGTACAGCCGAATTGGCTTGAACCCATTCTGGCAGAAGCCGGTTTTATGAACTGCGAATGCGCGGTAAATATTTCTCAGACTAGACTTTAAGCTTCTCGTTGCCTTTTGCATGTCTGAATACGTCCCAGTCTTTTGAGTTCTACCTGCAATGTACTGTTTAGTGCCAGCATGGACGAGAATGACGCACACACATCCGCCGCACAGACATCTTATGATGCTTGCTTCATCGCAGTAAAAGCTATATAAACTCCATAGTCAAACGTCATACTTTGCCAGGGATGCCATAATCGGCTCCGGCGGTGGCGGCGCAGGCTCAACGCCAGCATAGGCCTAGCAAGTCATCCAGATTTCTGCTACCGTCGTCATGAATGACCGCAGAGACTTTCAATGTTTTTGAGGGTTGAAGGATTTCGGCGTCCAAGCCATGCTTGCGTTCGTGCTACATGAGCATGCGGTCACCAGCGCATCTATGCCCAAACCATAATAACGTCCGCGTTCTCATTGCATTTGATTCACAGAGCATCCATGCCCGAACCATAACAACGTCCGTGCTCTCATTGCATTTGATTCACAGAGCATCCATGCCCAAACCATAATAACGTCCCTGTTCTCATTGCATTCGATTCACAG